TGTGTTTATTTAAACCGTGCTATATAAATAAAGTGGATTGGATTGGATCTTAACGTAACGTCCGCTCAGACGTTCCTGCTCACCTTCAGATCTTTGAGCTGTTTCTCCAGCCTCTGCTGCTCCTCTCTGGCCTTCTGGCCCTGCATGTTCACAGCTTTGATCTCAGCCTCCTTGGCCTCCATATCAGCGTGCAGCTGCTGGACCTCCTTGTCGAGCTTCTCCTTCAGCCTGATCTCCCTGGAGATCTTGTTGTGCTGCACCTGGAGCTCCTGTTGAAGCTAGAGATAGTGCAGAGCAGCAGCATGTGGATCTGCATCCATTGTTACATCTATCATTGAAATCTACCCAACATTCACGGCACCTTTGAAATTTTCTGCGCAGCGTCCTCTCTTTGGGTTTCCACCTCTTGCTGAGTTTCCGTTGCCTTCTTTAACTTTTCTCTTAGATCTTCTACCGTTGTCATCAGCTGGTCTCTCTCCTTGGTCGTCTCCTCAATCATTTGAATTAAATCCCTTAGAAACACCACAGTTATCACCTCATTCAGAGAACTGACAGGACCACAGGCAGACTGCAGGCCCACTAACTTACATCCGCTCCTGTTGTCCGGTCTGTTGCTCAGCTGCGTCAGTAAGCTTGGAAACATCTTCTTTTAAACTCCTGATGGTCTCCATGTCCTTCTTCTCTTTATCATGAGCTGCATCAACCATTTTCCAGGCCTCATCCAGCTCCTAAACCGATAATAAATCCTTTTGTTGAATCCCTGAAATGCATTAATCTTCCAAGTAAAGCTGGATAAATCATTTTGGATTTAACCACCACTAGTAAACAGGTGTGTAGAAGTTTAAACTATCATGGAACAAACTGCTGTGGAACAGTAAAGAAGATCTACTGAGTGGAACAACCTCTCAGGACTCTGACCTTCTTTAGTGACGCTATCGTCGCCTCGTCTTCCTCAGACAGTTTCAGGGCAGCTGCCATTTTGTTCGATGTGGACAAAATCTCTGCGTTCAGCTCTCTGCATTTGGACATCAGCCTGTGTTCATTGTCCTTTGACTTCTCCAGAGCATGGAGCAGTTTCTCGTACTCCAACCGAATCCGGTTGGAGCTCTCATCGTCTGCCAGCCCACTGAGGACAACCTGGAAGTCCTCCACGGACTCAGAGGAGTCCTTTCCGACGGATTCCTCCCCCTAAGAAAACAGCAGCAGGGACAGAGAGTGAGAATGGTTTGAGGTGAAGCAGATCAAGGCGCCTCCCAGCAGGTGATCACATCTGAAAACACAGGCTGTGATTGACAGCAGAGCACTGGAAAAAATGTCATTTTTTCTTAAAATAAGTGGATTTTTTTTTCTTGAATTGAGAAAGTAAGTGAGACACTTTGCCAAACGAATAAGACGATTTACATTTAAAATAAAAACAAATAATTGCATTGTCTTATTTCAGATGCATGTTATCTAATTATTTTAAGAGTAAAACACTCATTCCATTGGCAAATAATCCTACATACCTGCTTCAATTAAGGCTAAATACGCTTAATATAAGAAATTTTTACTTATTTCTGGTTCATTTTTGCAGTGAGAATCCCCCGCTGCCTCAGGTCTAAAAATAAAACAAAAACATTTAAATAATAAAGTTTTTCTGCCGCATTTACCATCAACACTAAAAAAATATTACATTAAGCTTATTTATAATGTCAGTTTCCTTTACCTCTTATCAAAAAGTAATTTATGCAAATGTGCTTAAAACGCAGCAATATGACTCTAAAAAAACGTATGTTTCATTATTATGTATCAGTTGCATAATAGATAAAATGACACAATACCTATAATTGGCATATTAGAACAGAATAGAAAATCCCTTTATTGTCCCACAATGGGTAAACTGTGGTGTGACGGCAGCAAAAAGATTGTTGACAAAATGGTCACACAAATATGGACCTTAGAAAGATGTATAAGAATAACATAATAGTGAAGAGTTAAAAGATAAACACTAAAATAC